TGAGACACTTATAGGACAGGTGAGACACTTATAGGACAGGTGAGACAGGTGTAGTAGTTGAATCGTGTCTCCTCAGGTGAAGGAGATGGCTCTGATCAGGAACACCATCCTGGAGTGTCAGGTGTGCGGTGAGTCCTCCCGGCCGTTTCCACGGTAACCCGGGCGGGGGCCCCGGTCTGAGGACCCGATTGAAGCCGGCCTGTCTGCAGGTTTCCACGAGCCCCGGTCCCGCTGCTCGCCCAACCCCTGCCACCAGGGCGTGGCCTGCTCCGAGAGCCCGCAGTTCCCCGGGTTCACCTGCGGGAGCTGCCCCCCCGGGACCAGCGGCAACGGCTCGCACTGCTCAGACATCAACGAGGTAAAACTTTATTTACACAGACATCAACGAGGTGAAACTTTATTTACACAGACAACAACGAGGTAAAACTTTATTTACACAGACAGACAGACGAGGTGAAAGTTTATTTACACAGACAGACGAGGTAAAACTTTATACACACAGATGACACACAGACCTCAATGAGGTGAAAACTTTATTCACACAGACGACACACAGACCTCAACGAGGTAAAACTTTATACACACAGACGACACACAGACAGACGAGGTAAAAACTTTATTCACACAGACAGACGAGGTTCAACAAACTTTATTCATACAGACGACAACGAGGTAAAAACTTTATTCACACAGACAGACGAGGTTCAGAAAACTTTATTCACACAGACAAACGAGGTAAAAGCTTCATTCACACAGACAGACGAGGTAAAAACTTTATTCACACAGACAGACGAGGTAAAACTTTATTCACACAGACATCAACGAGGTAAAAAACTTTATTCACATAGACATAAACGAGGTAAAAACTTTATTCACACAGACGACAGCAGGGTCAACAGAACTTTATTCACACAGACGACAACGAGGTAAAAGCTTTATTTACACAGACAGACGAGGTTCAACACAACTTTATTCACACAGACGACAACAGGGTCAACAAAACTTTATTCACACAGACGTCAACGAGGTAAAAACTTTAT